CCGGGGCAGCGATGGTGGGGCGGCCTAGACAGCCTGGTTGACCACGCCGTGCGCCCGGCGAATGTCGAGCAGGCGCTGCCAGCGGGTCGGGCACGAGTCCGGGTTGAGCAGCCACGCCTGATCTCCCTCGAGCTTCTCGAAGGTGCAGCAGCTCGAGTCCCACTTGCCGTACTCCTCCTTGACGACCGCGCCTGCATGCACAGGCCAGAGGGATGGACAGGCAGTGGACGTGCAGTGTGGGTGGTCAGCTCAGGTGCGTGCCTGTGGCGTCCTTGGTCACCTTGAAGGTCATCGCCTGCGGCATGGCCAAATTTGTAATATTATAGGACCGGGGTTTTGTAGATGCTCCCTCTGGCAAAGCCTTCGCGCCAAACACACCGTGACGTGGAGGTGCAACTGCGAAGGGGCACAAAACGACAACAAATGGAACGACTACGTCTATGTAGACGAGCTAGCTGCTCGCGGCAGGCAGGGTGACAGAGGCTCAAACGCTGCCGAGTGGGCGGACGGCACCACCCCACACTCCCAATGAGGGAAGCAACGCGGAGGGGGGCGACAGCAGTACCATTGGACACGGAGCAACGGGCGGCGGCCACAGGACTCGGAGAGGGACTCGGAGAGGGAAGCCGCTCAAGGGCTCGCCACGCGCCCGTGCGCGTCGCGGGCCGCACCACCCGTGCCCCCTGGTCGCTGACCCTAGCTCGCGGCCCTCTCTCAGCAGGTCCGCCAGAGTGCGCGGGAGAACTCGGATGCTGCTGTCCCGCCGAGGAGATGCATGCGGCGGCGGGCCGCGCAGGGAGGAGGGAGCAGGTGCGGTTTGTCTCGGCGAGCCAGTTCGGCGCGGGCGCGTTTTTGAACGCGATCCCGACCCGCGCGCACTTCCGTCTGCCCTCGTACGTGCTGCGCTTCGCGCTGCAGCGCCGCTTCGGATTACACCTGTCGATGATGACGGACGTCATGGCGGACGGCATCTACAGCCAGCACGGTCTGCCCTTTGACGCCCTTGGCGACGTGGCGCAGAACGACGGCGCGGCGGGCCACCAGACGCGGCACAAGGAGGTCCTCCTGGACCTTGTCGAGCTGCTGCGGGGCAAGCTGGGGCGCGGCGCGGTGGAGCACGAGTTTCACTGCGAGCACAGCACTACGAGGACGGACTTGTACATTTACCAGGGCGTGATTGGGGACCTGCCCTGCATCGGCGACACGAAGATCTTTGCCGGTGTGCCGTCGGACCCCTCGGGGGTGGGGCGCATGGGGGGGCGTTTGTCGCTTGCGGCAACACGCTGCCACGCGCCCGCGAGACGGTTCTGGGCGTGGAGGGCGGGGACAGGGGTGGGAGGGTGGGGATGTGGGACCCGCGGACGGGGACCGGGACGGTCGAGGCTGTCAAGGGCCAGTACACGGACGCAGAGGGGAAGTGCCGCGTGGAGGCGCTGCTCTTCGAGGAGTTCGGCGCAATGAGCGCGGGGGTGGAGGAGCTGCTGATGCGGGTGGCTAAGGTGGCGGGCCGGAAGCTCACGTGGTGGCAGTACGACCAGACGTCGTGGTCGGCGCGCGAATGGATGCCGTTTGCGCTGCAGCGACTGTCGGTGCAGCTCTGGACGGCGCTCGCGGACGAGGCACAGCGCGCCATTGGTGCGGCGTCGCGCGGCCGCGAGGGACCGCGGGGGGGGGCTAGTGGGATGGGGGGCTCTAAGGGGAAGGGAGCGGGGGGCGCCCAGTGGGGCGCCGGCGCCCCAGCGTAGATAGCCCTCGTAGGTAGGTAGGTAGGTAGTAAGGTGAAGAACAGCCAGGCTCGGACTGGACACCAACGCGGTATGGGTGGACGCTAGACAGATGATGACGACACGCACGAGCGACACACAGACACAAACAAGCTCACAAGACACACAGCCAGCTGGCTGCCACACACCCTGAGTCGGCGTACACATAACTCAGCCCTCCTTTTGGTATAAATAAAATAAAAGTGCTCCTTGAGTCTTGCGATGCAGCCGCAGATGGGCCAGCCCGTGGCGCAGCCCGTGGCGCAGCCGGCCATGTCCAAGATGCGCGTCACCGTCCCGGCAGGCGTGAAGGGCGGGCAGCCACTGCAGGTCCAGACGCCATCCGGCCTGATGCAGGTGCTGCCGCCCTCGGCCCCCCAAACCCCTCTCTTTGCACCGACTCACCGAGACTTCCGCGCGGGCGCCGCAGGTCACCGTCCCTCAGGGCCTCACCGAGGGCCAAGTGTTTGAGATGATGGTTCCCTCTGCGCCGCCAGTCGCGCAGGCGGCGCCCGTCGCGCAGCCGCAGCAGGCGCAGCCGCAATACGCGCAGCCGCAGCAGCCGCAGTACGCGCAGCCGCAGCAGCCGCAGTACGCTCCTCCTCCGCAGCAGACCGTCGTCCACCACCACCACCAGCCGCAGCAGCCGCAGGTCATCGTGCACCAGGCGCCGCCGCCAGTCATCTACGGTGGGGGCTACTACGGCGGTCCCGTGTACGGCGGCGGCTTCGACGGCGGCGGCTTCGCAACCGGCCTGGTCGGCGGCATGATCATGGGCGAGATGATGGACGGCTGCTTCGACTGAAGGGCGGCGGCACCGCGCTCGATCTTCCTCGGGCCCGACGAGGTAAGGTAAGGTGCTAACGGTGCTCCACACCGACGTGCGGGGGCGCGCGGTTCCCCTGGCGGATGCCACGCGAGTGGCCGGTGGGCCGAAAGACAGAAGCACGACGCGAGGAGCTGACGTGAAACGTGACTGTGTGGTGTCGACGGAGAGGCAGAGCTGCAGAGCCAGAGGCGCGAGATTGCCGTGGAGAGAGAGAGCGCCGGGCTGTCGCGCGCACATACACAGCTCGAGCTCCGGTCAGTGCTCAGTCCCCTCTCGCTTTCTACGTAGGCCAAAAGTATACAGTAGTGAATACAGCAGTTACATGCGCCCGGGAGATCGGATCGTACCCTACGCTGGAGTAGGACATGGGTCCTTGCGTGCACGGAGCGAGGGCCGCACGGAGAGACTTGCGCGGAGCACACCACACAGCGGCCCCTCTCAGTCTCACTTCTCCTTCTTGGCCTCCACCATCTCCACTGGCAACTTCTTGCCCCGCGCCTCGATCTCCGCAATCTCCGCCTTGGCGTCCGCGGCCGCGCGCTCCGCCGCCTCGGCCGCCTCGTCGTCCCCCTCCTCTCGCTTCTGCTTGGCGACGATCGCAGCGCCGGCGGCCTGCTTTCGTAGCCACGGTAGCCGCTTCTCGCCCTCCTCGGCAACCTCCTGCTGCGCCTTGCGGATCAGGTGCCTGAGCCCCATGACGACGGTCGGGATCCAAAACCCGGCCCAGATCGCAAAGCAGAGCAGCCCGTTTTGCAGCCCGCTGTACTCTGAGAGCAGATACCAGGAGAGGCCCATCAGCAAAAACATGGTGCCGACCGAGCCGTGGGCAAACTCCTCCTCCATCGTGCCGGTGAAGGACATCATCCCGTTCATGGCTGCTGCCATTTCAGGCCTGAGTGGAGGGAGAGCAACAGCCGAGAGAGTGGCGAGATAAAAGAAAATCCCGCGGGGAGAAAAAGAAAGCATTTTGCCCGCGCCGATCGGGCGACGGAGGCCTCCTAGAGCATACCTTGATACCCCCTCGAGAAGGAGGCGATGATACTATATACTAAGCTAACGAAAGTCGAACGTACTATACCAAGCAGCAAGAGAGAGAGAGAATTCTTGATACGAAACCACGACGACACACACCAGTCGACTCGCATCGGTTGCCTCCATGAACGGCGGAGCTATTCTCGCGTCCACACCACACCTGGCTCCAACGTGGACACGCCCATAGCTGGGGACACTACTAGGTCACGCATGGCATCAGAAGTTTTATCTCTGGGCCCCGAAAGGCATCTCTAGCAGCGTCGTTACGCATGCGCCCTCCCCTCCTGGGCGCATACGCCTCACGTCTCGACAGAGCATAAGCCCTTGGTGTGCCACGAGACGAGTTTTTCGCCATCGCCGCGAGCAGCAAGCCGCCCGCCGCAAACAGCCGGAGGCATCGCCGCAGCACTGTCTGCGCTGCGCTCCCGCACCCGTCGACGAAGCTCCCCCCGCGGAAGACCGCGCGTAGCGACGCCTTGACGATCGAGATGAGCGCGCTTGAAGCCCGCCCACCTACTGCCCCTGAGAGTTGGTTACCGAGTGGGATCAGCTCCCCCCCTTGGGATCGAAGCTTCCACGACCTCGCACCCAACACCACAGGCGGGATCAGAGAGAGACTCCACACCGGACACCGCCCGGGCACAGACCCCCTACCCGTCGGACAATGCCTGGACCCCTCACAGAGCAGCCCACGCAGGTCAGCCCCGGGGGTGCGCGTTCGCAGGGCAGGGGCCTTAAAGTAAACACAGTTCTCCGAGAGGGCTCCGTGTACCGGGTTTCCCCTTAACTGCAGAACGCCCCCTCTACTCGGAGCTAGTGGACACGGACACTACGACGCGCTTCTCGTTTTTCGTGCCAAACCAGCGCGATCTCGGCGGGGCGTCAGCGCCTCTCGGAGGGGCATCATGCGCTCCCGGGGCCGCCCGACGGCGCGGGCCTCTTGCTGATGGACCCAGCCGAGGTGCCCGACCAGTCGGAGTGGCGCTGACGCGCCGCGCGCGACCACCAGCCAGCTTTCCGGCCGGGCCGAGAACGGTGCCTCGAGAATGTAGACACTCCAAACAGTTGCCGAGTTTTTTCCCTCTTTTTGAGCGCCGCTGCTGCACACCCAGCCCACCAGTGATACTAGACGCACCAGATTCACCCCGTCGCGAGCTTGACCGCGACCCCGATGACCGCCCACAGGTGGCTGATCGCGGCGCCACTCATCGTAGGCCGGTCGGACCCGATTTTATTAAATTTTCAAGTTTAAGCGCAGACCTCAAGACTTGAACGCAAGCATGTTCAGGCCATCTAGAGTGCCGAACAACATCGCACCGGTTCGGTTCGCGCATCACGGCCGCGCAAACTGGCTGCACTGCGGCGCGAGGCTCAGCGGGGCGTCCGGACCACTGACTCGGGCGATGTGGTGGTCGAGCGCAGCCTTCTTGAGCTGGAGAGCCGCCGCAGTATGCGCGGTGGATGGGACGTCGGCCAAACCGCGACGCGCAAGCTGCAGGGAGGAGCTACAGCGGCTCCTCTCCTCATGCTGGTTCGCCAAACCGAGACGTTGAGGTCCTCGTACACTCATGTCGCGCCTCGAGTAAGAGCCATCACGCTGCCCAGCGCTGGACCGTCGTAAGGTCCGGCCTTAGGCCAGCTCGCAGCACTGTATGAACTCACGCTGGCGAGCACCATCCCAGGATGAGGCCTTCAAGAGCGCGCGCCAGGGACGTCCGTATGGCAAAATCGGCGTGAATTCGCTATGAAAACGCTTCCAACCCATCAAGAGCGGGCTCAGAAGAGACGATACTAACCCAGGATCACCAGGGCACCTTAGGGTATCGAAATTTTCCACCCCCCCACCCCCTCCCGCTCCCCCGGCCCGCGCCTCTCCCCCTAACTAACACACGCACCACCGCTGACACCCTCACCAGGCCTCTCCCCCCGCCTCGCCGCTCTCGCGGTGCAAGCCGACTCCTGGCGACCGTCCTGGTCAGCGGCCCTTGCCAGGACGGTCCGAGCGCCGCGCTCGCTCCGGTGAGCGAGCACTACAGTAGCACACCGCACCTGCACCGCCTGTAGTGGCACCGGCACCAGCCTCCCCAGCCCCGCCTCTCCAACGTCTCACTCGCCACCCTGCTCGCTGCCGCCCCGCCCGTCGCCACTGCCACTAATCTGCCGCTCCGCAGCCCGCTCCACCTTCCCGCCCGCAGCGCCTCCCGTGCCGACGCAGCCTAGAGACAACAGAGCTGGGTCAATATCACCGCGGGAACGCCTCCTCTCGACGTGGGACAGAGCCTCCTCCACAACGTCGAGAGAGCGACGGCCAGCGTGGCGCGGCGCAACGTCGCGCGGCAGTGGCCGCAGTGGCTCGAGGCGGGCAGCGCCGGCGACAACGAACGCGGAGCGCGCGGCGACAGCGGTGGCGAGAGCCGAGGGACGTGACTACACCCTCGAGCGCCGTGCGCGCGCAACCTCGTCAGCCAACCACGCGCCGCACCAGCGCCGCGAGCGACGCCTCGAGGCACAACGTGCAGCCGCCGCATCCCCCGCCGCCGCCGCCGCCGCCGCCGCCGCCGCCGCTGCCTCGCTCCACGGCGGCGGCGGCGCCGCCGCCGCAGACTGTAAGCACCAACAGCCGGCGGCTCGGCACGCGGCGGCCGCCTCCGGCCTGGGGGCGCGTCGGCAGCGCGGCGCGCCACCTCGCTGCTCGACACGCGCCGGACCTGTCATGCGCGGCTGCGCCACCGCTTCCTCGTGCGGCGCCGTCGCCGCCGCCACGCCGGCCGCCTGCTGTGAGCGCCGCGCTGCTCGGCCGCACCCGCCCGTGCCGGCCGCAGCTGCTCTGCCGTCAGCGCCGTCGCCGTCACGGGCCAAGCCGCCGTTGTCGCCGCAGCCACGCCCGTCGGCCTCGCTGCCGCCGGTCCAGCATGGCTGACATCGCCACTACCACGGCACCGGGCAGGGTGAGGCGCTAGAGGGTGAAGGGTGCATAGAGGCGAGGTGAGGCGGCACCTAGGGGCAGTGACCCCCGTGAGCCGGCAAGCCGACGCGCCACTACCGGGCAAGATGGAGGCCGAGCTGCGACCCTCACAGCTCTCGCGGCATGCGTCCAGAGCTCGATTCATCTGCCTCGCCGCTCGCTCGCCGCCTTTGTGGGACCTAAAGAGAGAGGTTCTGAGCCGTCGGGCGGCGCTGATGGTGGCCCGCGTGGGTGGAGCCCGCGGCAGCTAGGCCGCCTGGGCGCGGGGGGGGTGGTCCGGTGCTTCAGAGGCAGCGTGAGCGACGGGGGGGGCGAAGGATGTGAGGCGGCTCGCCTGCAGCGCCCACCTGCTGGGCCGTCTGGATCTGCGATTACGCCTCGGGAAATGCGAGATCATCCAGAAAATGTCTGCAGACCTCAAACCGATGGCCTCAAAAAGTCGTTGTCAGCCACCGATTTTCCGTGTCGCCCGACCCGCCACCTCACCGGCCCGGCGTTCGGAGGCGTAAAATCTTGGTCGGCCGTTGGGCCGGTGCCATCGGCCGCGGTCGAGTCGACCGTGCCCCGTCTTGGGCACGATGGACATGTGACCGGCTCCGGTCAAGATGTGCCCCGGCATGGCGGATGAGGCTCTCAGGTTGGGCGACGCGAGCGCCGAGAAGGTGGAGCAAGACCTCGCGTCCCACATGGGCTTGCTCGGTTGGCAGGGTTGGATTTGGGTTCTTTGTGATGCGCCAACTTCAACTTCCGGAACGACTCAACAGGGCCCAAAGACGGAGAGAGAGAGAGAGAGAGAGAGAGAGAGCGCGGCGCGCGCGGCGCAGCCAGTGCCGTGGCGATGCCTCCGGCTGCTGCGGCGAGTGGCTTGCTGCTCGCTGCGATGGCGAAAAACTCGTCTCGTGGCACACCAAGGGCTTATGCTCTGTCGAGACGTGAGGCGTATGCGCCCAGGAGGGGAGGGTGCATGCGTAACGACGCTGCTAGAGATGCCTTTCGGGGCCCAGAGATAAAACTTCTGATGCCATGCGTGACCTAGTAGTGTCCCCAGCTATGGGCGTGTCCACGTTGGAGCCAGGTGTGGTGTGGACGCGAGAATAGCTCCGCCGTTCATGGAGGCAACCGATGCGAGTCGACTGGTGTGTGTCGTCGTGGTTTCGTATCAAGAATTCTCTCTCGCCCAAAGACGGGGGAGCGACCGGCCTACTCATCGCTGCTTTCGCGCGCCTGGCTCTCAGAGGGCCCCTGCGGCTCTCTCTCGTCGCGTGACCGCCGCCGACATCATCTGCTCGGTCGTGCCCGCCAGCGCGGAGCTGCGCCACGTCGAATTGTTCGGCGGCTCGACCGCCGGCGCGCCCATCCTCGCCTCCTGCGCGCCTCACACTCAGTTTTCACCTTGCGCGCGGCCGACAAAGTGAGCTCACGACCACCTCCCTCTCAGTCACCCCCGCAACGATGCACAGGTCGTTCGTTCTCGCCGAGAAGACGCTCGGAGCGCCCAACTTTGCCTCGTGCGGCCATCAAACAGGCGCGTTGCCTCCCATCTCCGCACTTCCCATCTACCCCCACACTGCCACTGCCGGGGACGCGCAGATGCGACTCCCGGGCCCGCTCACCTCACCCGAGCCCCGCCGCCTAGGCACAGCCCGACGAGAACCCGCCGGGAAGGAGCTGGCCGAGCCATCGCCGGCCTCCCTGCCGGCTCACGGCCGCTCAAAAGGTCGCTCACCCGCCCGTCGCTTGCCGCCCCTCTCCCAGCCCTTGCCGGCGACGAGATCACGAACCTAGGGCTCAGTTCCGTCTCCCCCCCCTCCCTCCTGTAGGCAGGCCGTCCCGCGCAGGCGGGAAGAGGCGCGCCGAGCCATCGGCGACGTCCCGGCGAGCTCACGGGCGCTCAAAAGGTCGCCGACCCGCCCGTCGCTTGCCGCCCCTCTCCCAGCCGTTGCCGGCGACGGGGTCACGAACCTAGTGCTCAGTTCCGTCTTCCTCCCCCTCGCTCCTGTAGGTAGGCCGCCCCGCGCTGGCGGGAAGAGGCGCGCCGAGCCATCGGTGACGTCCTGGCGAGCTCATGGGCCCCCAAAAGGTCGCACCGACCCGTGGCTCCGCCGTCGGCTCCGCCGCGAGCGGCGACGGTGAGGCCGACGGTGCTCGCCTATACCGGCTAGTGTGGAGCTTTCAGTGTGGTTGCGTGTTTTACTAGTGATGCTGCACTAGGCGGCCCGTTTTTAGCAAAAACCAGATACCACATCGCGTGTGGTCGTCGAAAAACCGCATCTTCGCCCGTTTTGGACCCCTTCGTACGGCTCCAAAAACGGCTCCTTAACGACGACTACGCGGCCCGGCGGTCGATCTGCGCCTTCTCAGCGGTGGAGGGGATGTGGGCGGTACGTGCGGGCCGCGTGCTGCTGCGACGGTTTGACGAATGCGACTCCCAGCGTCGACTCTGCGACCCCACGCGGAGCCTCTGCTGCTCCGGGGGGGGGGGTCTGCAGACCACCCGGCCGAACTTCAGAGTGGCGGTGCTCCTGAAATACCGCTCAAACGCCCACGATGTTGTGGAGGGGACATATGCTGATGATCCTGGCCCGATTGGTTCGCTCAGAAAGCTTCTGGGCGGTCGCTAAGGTTCGCTCCCCGCACACCGGCCCCGGAATAAGATACATCATAATAGCCCTCTTCGATGCAGTCGCAGGAGTGATAACCCATCGAGGTGGGAGCCGCCTGCGGCATACTGAATCCTCCACGAGTGGCGCAAGCCCGCTCGTCCCGAAGCTCGAGCGACTCGTCCACCTTCCCAGCCACACCCTGCACAGCAGCATCCTCCTCCTCCTCACTGTAGTTGTCCCACCCGTCGTCGGAGTCGTCGCCACGGCGCTCGAAGCGGCAGCAGAGCTCCTCTTCCTCTGCTTCCTCTGCTAGCAGCTGCGCCAGCACTGCCTCCCACTCAGGGTCGGCAGCAGAGCCAGCATCGCTTTGAGCAGAGCAGCGCATTGCCACGTCCTCGTCGCAGAGCTCCACCGCGGCGAGAGACGTGGTGACAGTGGCGACCGACGTGCCAGTGGCGCGGCTGGCATCGCCAGCAGCGAGGCCGCCAGCATCGCCGCCGCGCACCGCGGCGTGGGGCGCAGCAGCGTCCCGTCTGGCTCACGACGAGACCTGTTCACAGTACTCGAGTACCCGTACCGAATCCTGGCGCGCTTCGGCGACTCGCGCTCTCGCGTGCCTCTGCCCCTGATCCAGCCAGGTCGCCACAATCTGCCACGAAATCGCCACATGGAAGCTGCCAACACCCACGCCTTTATGGCCGGACGCCGAGCAGCGCACGCTAGCGACGACGACGACGACGAAGACGAGGCGGAGCTTCTCTCGCAGGTGCAAGCAGCCCGGCTTCATCGGAGAGAGGCCGAGCGACGCACAGGCTGCAAGGTGGCCGAGCTCGCCGCCCTCGCGGCGTCGCTCAACGCTCAGGGCGACCACTTTGGGGCCGTCGAGGCCCTCACCAAAGCCATCGCCCTCTCGCCGCACGACGTGTCTTTGCTTGAGGCCCGGTCGGGCGCCTGCGCGCGTCTGGACAAGCACGCGGCCTGCCTGCACGACGGCGAGCTGATCGTCCGGCTGACACCAGACTGGTACCGCGGCCACGCGATCTGCGGCTCCGCTCTGTTTTGCCTCAAGCAGTACACCGCCTCTGTGCTCGCCTATCGGCGCGCGCTTGGCTTTGCGGTGGGCTCGCCGGCGGAGCGCGGCTTGCAGTCGGCGCTCGTCGACGCGTGCGGCCGCGTCGACGGCGCCTTGCGGCAGTGCTCGATGCTCGGCGACACGACGCAGCTGTGCTCCCTGCTCTCCTCCGGCGCGGCGCGGATCGACGCGCCCGATGAGAAGCACGGCTTCACGCCCCTACTTCTCGCCGCCGCCGCGGGGCATCCCGGATGCGTGCGGGCGCTCCTCGACGGCGGTGCTTGCGCGGGCGCGCGCGACCGGTACGGCAAGACGGCGCTGATGTGGGCGGCGGCGCAGAGGCACGAGGGCGTGGCCGACGTGCTGCTGCGCCGCTGCGCGTCTGAGGCTGCCTCGCTCGTTGCAACCGACTCAGCGGGCTGGGACGCACTGCACGCCGCCTGCTTGTCGGGCTGCCTGCCACTTGTCGAGCGCCTGCTGCCGCTGGCGGACGTGGGGCGAGCGGCAGTCGACGGCTCCACCTACCTGCACGCCGCCGCGCAGGGCGGCCACGTGGCCGTGGCTCGGCTCCTTCTCGACCGACGCGCCGACCCGTCCGCAAGACAGACCCGCGGCAAGCGGCCCCTCGACCTTGCATCCGCGGCGCGCAAGTCTGAGGTCGTCGCGCTGCTTCGGCCGCAGACGCCAGAGCTGCCGGTGCAGGCAGGCCCGTGCGCTGCTCGCGCGCCCACCCACACCATTCGCATGCACTGACAGCCCTCCTCGTGCATTGCAACAGGGCTAGCGACGCCGACGGGGCGCTCGATGGCGATTGCCGTGGGTCTCGCGTTTGTTGCGGTGTGGTGGGTGTTGGCGCCGGTTCTTGGCGAACCGCCGCCCACGTAAAAAGTTACTGCGCTGCGAGACACGCTCCCTCTTCGTCTACTCACCTCGAGATCTCGTCTCCCTCCCCCCACGTCGCACGCGTGCTCTCCACAGTGCACGGAGACCACGAGTGTCCGCTTCAGGCACCGCGCGCAATGACCAATGAGGGGGACGTGACACGTGTGTGCGACGTGCGCCGCTCGCTCAAGGCCCATCTGGTCATCTCTCGTCCCTCTCATCATGCTCGGAACGCTCCTCAAGAGCTCGGGATGGCGCCCTTCTGGTGCGGCTTGAGAAAGGGCGACGGGCACTTGGAGCCAAACGCGCCGCTCGCCCACAGGCCAAGCAGGAGCACGGGAACAAAGCAGCCGCCGATGATGCCGCCAATGCAGCCGGCTCCGCAGCTAGAAGAGGAGGAGAATGGCGACGACGGTGGCGGCGATGGCGACGGCGGAGACGGCGGCGGTGAGGGAGAAGCGGCAGCCGGCGGCGGCGAGGGAGAAGCGGCAGACGGCGGCGGCGAGGGAGACGCCGCCGTGCAGCCCATACCAGCGGCCATCGAGGGTTCCGAGTAAAAGATGTCCGTCACTCCAGCCAGCGCTGTCGCCGTGTAAGCGTTCGTGTAGCCTGAAGACCCCCCGCTACACTTTGCCGCCCCGGCGGACAAGTCGGCATAGGTGCACCCACGGTAGCACTTCATGGCAAAGGGGTAGTCGGAGGCGGACGGCTTGGGATCTGTGGGGAGGGAGACGAGGTCGGACAGAGGGCCATTGAAGTAGTACCGGTACGTGAATTCATCGAGGCCCGGGATCTCCTGTAGCAGCGAGGGAGGTTGTCGGTGAGCAGCGGCGGGGACCAATGCACCTCACGAAGGCCGCTTCCGTGAGCGACACGCAGATCTCAGTCAACCACCTCCGATGCGGCCTTGACGTGGGTGGCACGTTTATCCTCGGGAGCCAGACTCTGACCATCATCGGCATTGAGTTTGGCGACCGCCGCCGTTTGCTCTCTGCCACCGCCCGCTCGCTCTCTTCCGACGCATCCACCGTCGACGAGGCGCTGCCACAGCAAGGCGAATCCGAAGTCTCGGTCTCCTTCACGCCAGCACTGGCGCAGCGCTACCCAGTCGGCTTCGAGGAGTCGGTGAGCAGCACTGCATTTGCCCTCGGGCTCGGGCTCGGGCTTGGCCTTGGCATTCCCTGCCTGCTGGGGCTCGTGCTAGCTGCGATTTTCCGCGAGCAGATCTCTGAGCGGTGCCTACGACAAAAAGGAGATAGTAGTACCAGCACCGCCGTAGGCGTTCCGCCGCTGGCGCTGGACTTGTCCCTCAATTAGGCCACCTCTATAACCGCAAATGCCGCACACATTTAGGTTCCCGGTGTGTGACGACTGACGCGCATTCGTCACAGCAGGAACGATCGCGGTATGTGTAGTGTATGTAATGCATGTACGTCGCCAAAGGTTATTTCACGCTTTTCTTTTTCGGGTTGTAAAATTCTTTTTCTCGCACAGTGCGCGCCAGTCCCGTGCCCAGTGTTGTGCGAGGGCGGGCTTAAAATTCTTTTTCTCGCGATGTCCACCCAGCCGCGGCGTCGCTCGCGCCGCCTCGCCTCCCCTACCGCCGCTGCTCCCTCGCCAGACACGCCGCCGCCCGCCCGCCTCCTCGACCTCCCCACGGAGCCCCTCGTGCGCGCCCTCTCTCGCTGCGACCCCGCCGACATCGCTCGCGTCGCGGCCGTCTCGCTGCTCTTCCACTCCTCGCTCGCGGAGCAGGGCATCCGCTTGTGGGCGCAAGAGCACGGCTTCGAGCTGCCGGCGCAGCCAGAGGACGAGGACTGCGCCTTGCGGTGGCTGTGCTTCGCTGCCTTGCTGTGCGAGGCCAACCCGCCGGCGAGGGCTGCGGCAGGCGAAACGCACAGCGTCTTCATCGACGGCGAGGGGCGGCTCGCGTCGTGCGGCTGCGGCACAGCGGACGAGGAGGACGAGGAGGACGAGGGGGGCGAGGAGGGGGTTCCAGGCCTCCTTGGTCACGGCGAGGGCGTGACGCGGCTCAACACGCCGACCCGCCTCCCTTCCACGCTCGGCGGCGAGCGCGCCGTGAGCGTGTCGGCAGCGCAGTACCACAGCCTCGCCCTCACCGCCGGCGGCGCTGTCTGGAGCTGGGGCTTGGGAGCCCTGGGCGCCCTGGGCGCCCTGGGCGCCCTGGGCCACGGCGACGATCAGGACCAGTGGCAGCCGAAGGTGGTCGAGGCCTTGGCGGGCCAGAGCGTCGTCGCTGTCTCGGCTGGACGCGACCACAGCCTCGCCATCACCGCCGGTGGCGCCCTCTGGAGCTGGGGCCGTGGAGGCGACGGCCGGTTGGGCCACGGCGACCAGCAGAGGCAGCTGCTGCCCAAGAAGGTCGAGGCCTTGGCTGGCCAGCGCGTGGTCGCTGTGTCGGCTGGAGAGTACCACAGCCTCGCCATCACCGCTGACGGCAGCGTCTGCAGCTGGTGGCCGGTTGGGCCACGGCGACGAGCAGGACCAGCTGCTGCCGAAGAAGGTCGAGGCCTTCGCTGGCCAGCGCGTCGTCGCGGCGTCGGCTGGAGAGTTCCACAGCCTCGCCGTCACCGCCGACGGCGCCGTCCTTACCTGGGGCGAGGGCGAATTGGCCCGCCTAGGCCACGGCGAGGACCTGTCGAACCAGCTGCTGCCCAAGAAGATCGAGAAGTGGGCGCCGGGACAATGAGGTATATCTGGTCTCAGGGTGTCCCACGGCAGTATCTCGGCGGCCACCCCGAGGACAGCAAGAGAGCGAGAGAGGTGACCACCCACCCACTGAGGGTCGTGGGCCGTCGCGAGAGAGATGATGCTGCCGCGCTCAGCCGTCGATGAGAGGGCACTGCCGGAGCGGTGCCGGTGCGGACCAGTTCCAATGCATCGCGCGAATCTCTGTGTGTGCGTAGTGGAGCGAGTGTCCCTGGGTGGCCTGTCCGGTGTCCGCTGTCGGCCTGTCGCTGTATTGCGTCTGATCCTACCGCCCGTTCGTTAGTTTGGCTTAAAACGTAAACTCCCCTCGGCTACAAATATGTCTCTCACCGCTCCTCCGTCGTCGCGGCGCTTGCCGCGTCCCCGCCGTCGATGTCAGGCTCCGCCCAGCTCAGCCCGCTGTCGTCCGAGAGGGCGCCGTCGCTGCCGCTGCTCCACTCGTGGGGCGCGCGGTCGCCTGCGTCCAGACCAGGCCGGTGATCTCGGGTGATCTCGGGTGATGTCCGGTGATCATGGGCAACCGTGGGCAATCTCGGGCGGGAGTCTCTCGGCGCCGTGCTCGCTCGGCGACGGCGACGCGGCGGCGCCGCCGCTGAGTGCCGCGAGGCTGCTGGAGAGCTGGTTCAGCCCGCTCATCACGGCGCCTCCGCCGCGCCCTGGCGAGGCCGTGGCGACGGCGTCCGCGGCCTCATGCAGCGCGGTGAGCGCCGCCTCCGCCGTCTTCGCAGCTCCGAGCCGCGCGTGCCTCTGCGCCCAGAGCGCGCTGCGGCCCAAGCTGCGCGTGCGGCCCAAGAGCCACTCAAACGACGCCTACAGGAAGGTTCCGGGAGAGGTCGGGAAGGCTTCCCCGGCGGCGACGGCCAAAGCACCTCTTCCAGCGCCTCCTCGCCGCCCGCGCCGCCACCCAGGCTCCGACCCGCTGAGCTGCCCGCTGAGGAGCTGCCCAAGCTGATTGCGACGCCGTCGAGCCTCGCGCAGCAGGCGTGCAGCAGCCACCAGCACGCTCGGTAGCCCTCGTGCAGGACGCCGTCTCCCCCTCCCTCCCCGCCCCCGCGCCCGCCCCCCCCCTCCCCCTCCCCCTCCCCCTCCTCCTCCTCCCCCTCCAAGGCCGACTCGATCTGCCTCAGCAGCCGAAGCGCGGCGCCAGGCGGAGGAGGGGAGGGGGCAGGGGCGGGCACCTCGCCGCCGCCGCCACCGCCGCCACCGCCGCCACCGCCGCCGCCACCGCCGCCGCCGCCGCCGCCGCCGCCACCGCCGCCGCCGCCGCCACCGCCGCCACCGCCGCCACCGCCGCCGGTGGCGCCGCGCTCCGCAGCTGCACACACCAGCTGGGCAAGCAGCGCCGCGGCGAGCGACGCGCTGTGCAGCGACAAGTCGGCGGCGTGGTCGGCGATCAGGCTGAGCACCGAACAGAGCTCGCCGTCCTCCGAGGGAAGGGAGAGGGCGGCGCCTGCTCCGTCGCCTGCGACGGCGGAAGCGGCAAGCAGCTCCTCGAGCACTTCGAGCAGCGGGCGGCACAGCTCCCCATCCCGCCAGTGCTCGGCGAGCAGCCCGCGGACGACTGCCCACCCTCCCGCCGCCAGCAGCGCCGCGCCAAAACGCGCGGGACCAGACTCCGCCTCCGCCGCCTCCGCTGCCTCCGCCGCCTCCGCCGCCTCCGCGGCCTCCGCCGCCTCCGCCGCCTCCGCCGCCTCCGCCGCCTCCGCCGCCTCCGCCGCCTCCGCGGCCTCCGCCGCCTCCGCCGCCTCCGCGGCCTCCGCCGCCTCCGCCGCCTCCGCCGCCTCCGCCGCCTCCGCCGCCTCCGCCGCCTCCGCCGCCTCCGCCTCCTCCGCCGCCTCCGCCGCCGCCTCCGCCTCCGCCTCAGATGCCACCGCCACCGCCGCCTCTCCGCTCGCCTCGGCGGCCCCGGGCTCAGCGACCGTGCGGTCGGTCGCTGGCGGCTCGCCCGACGCCTCATCTGGCGTCGCGGCCGCCTCTGCGAGGTACGACGCTGCGGCGAGGAGGGCGACACCTCGCAGCAGCAGCTCCCTCCGCCGCGTGTTCTCGAGCACCTCCATCAGCCGCCGCAGCGAGTCGCCGCTCGTCATGGCACGCAGCCAGCGCGCCGCGTACCCAGAGGAGCGGCGGTGGGCGGCGAGGGCGGAGCAGCACACCTCGGAGAGCCGCAGCCACTCGAGCAGCGCCGAGGAGTCCGCGGTGCGGAAGAGCACGCCGCACAGCATCGGCCACGCATCGCGCGCCTCGATCGCGTCACACACGGCCGGTGCCGCGGCAAGGTTGGCGAGCGTGCCGAGGCAGGTTTCGAGCATCCTCTCGCTGGCCGCGATCTCCGAGGCCTCGCTCTGCGGCGCCAGGGACGCCTCGACGAGGTGCAGCAGCAGCGGCAGCAGTCCGTGCGCAAACATGAACTCGGCAGCCTCGTCGTTGGCGCTCAGGTCCCAGATGACGCTCGCCGCGGCGCACGCGTCCCCGCCGGCGGAGGCAGAAGCGGTGGCGGTGGTGTGCGAGAGGAGAGCGCGCATCTGGCAGAGGATGAAGGTGGGCTCGACGACCGGGCCTGAGGGAGGCTGGATCATCACGCCCTGTTGTGTGTACTTGTTACGTGAAAACCCGCTGGGACCCGGACGCCAGCACACACGGCTAGATTTCATGGCGGGCCGCCTAGGCCCTGGGGTCGGAGGCAGAGTCGGTGGGGGTGCCGCGCGCGGCGCGGGCTTCGCTGTCGGGGGCGTTTAGGGCGGGGTCGGGGAAGGAGGGTGGGGTCGGTCGCATTGGCGGCCGCGCGGCAGTGGCTGCGGGGGGGGCGGGAGGAGGTGGTGGCGCCGACCGCAATGGCGGTCGAGGACCCGACGTCGAGCGCCGGGCGAGATCGCGAGGGTCGAGGGTGAGCTCGAAGCCGAGGGCGGCGGCCGAGTTCTGGATGGTGATCGTTAAACAGTGAGAGCAAGACCGGGCCGCACGGCATCGACGGCGGGGAAGCCGGCGGCAACGGTGTCTCGACGAGCTCCACCACGGCTCGAATCGGCGCGGGCAGGGATTCCTGGAGGGTCGAATTCGCCTCCGCTCCGATCTGAGCTAGCCTGGCTTGCATCTCGGCGAGCTGCGCTGCCGACTCTGCCGCGCTTGCCGAGCCCGCGAGGATCCTCGTCTGGATCAACGATGGACCAGAGTCGACACTGAAGTTGCCGGCCTCGGCCACGGCTTCCGCGTCTACCGGGTGCAATAGAGGCGACTGCTCGTCGTCCATCGGGCCGCTGCCACTCTCGCTCAGCCGCCGACCACTGTTCCTCCTCCTCCGTCGGCAGACCCGGGGCACCCTCCTGCATAAGCTCTGGATAATCAAACCGATGCTGACGCTGCAGCGAGCGCTAAGAGGACCGGTGATCCTCCCCCACCCGGGCACGTCCATGGTGAAGGTGTGGCGGCCGCTGCAGTGCTTGAGCCGCCTCCCACCGCCTGAGGACGGTGTCACAGTCATGCTAAACGAGGCGCTCCCACGTAGCCAGGTGTAGAACGTGCGCATTGCGGTGCGAGGAGTGGGAGGGGAGTCTCGAACTGGGATTCCCACACCGGTATTGTTGATCGAGATGACCTCGCACACTGGATCGAGGCGGCACACCCTGCTTTCGCGGACAGCCTTCTCGAATGCCGCGTTGCCCACCTAGGCGAGGGGGTGGCGTCACAATGCGCGAGAGTGGTGTTTGGGTGCGTGGGCGTCTGTCTTGTCTGTCTATCACCTCCTCCCCCTCGACGCCGTAAAACATGACGTCGACCTGGCTGACTTGCACCTTCACGGGCTCGTCCCCAAAGACGGTCGCCGACGCTTCGATTGCCTCGACAAAGCCGTCCAACGTGACATTGCTCGCTGCAAGGTCTTGCGTGTCCGCTTCTGCCCGCAATTCGATAAGCGGCAAGCCATCGTCGTCGCTCTCGCCATTGCCCTCGCCATAAGCATAGTCCGGCAGTGGCTGCGAGCTGGAGGGCGCCGCGGAGGGCTGGCTAGAAGGATCCGTCGAGGGCGAGCTGGAGGGTGCCGCGGAGGGCTGGCTAGAAGGAGCCGTCGAGGGCGAGGAGGAGGGTGCTGACGAGGGGGGCGGTGACGACGGCGACGGTGGAGAGGGCGGAGGCGGTGACGGCGGGGGCGGTGATGGCGGGGGCGGTGACGGCGGCGGTGGAGGCGGCGGCGAAACCGACTGCTGCGGTGACGGCGGTGGGGGCGGTGCGCTGACCCCGGGCGGCTCGCCGAGAGGCGGGCGCGGGCCGCAGTCCGAGCAATCCGTCCCGTAGTCGCAGATGTCGTAGTCCGAACCGGGCCCGCCGTCGTCGCAGTCGCCGTCGTTGAGGTGGGGGCAGCCCGGGCTGCCCACGCACGTGGCTGGCGGCGTAGGCGCGGGTGGCGGCGCAGAGAGCGGTGGGGCCGATGGCGGCGGCGAGGGCGGTGTTGGCTGGCTGGTTGCAGGTACCACACAGGCCACTTGAGTCGCCTCTGTGCACTTGCCATTCATTTCAACGCCACCAGGGCAGCACTTGAACTGCCCTCCAGGGCGGCTGGCGCAGCCGTTGCCGCCGCATGATCCGCAAGAGGAATCGCAGCATGTGTCGCCGTCGAGAATGCCATGCTGGCACCACTCACCTTCCCCTGGCGGTGGCGGTGCGGGCGGCGGCGGGTTGGGCGCAGGCGGACAGCAGCGATCACCGTCATAGCCCGCGCCCATCGTGAAGCAGCTCAGCTGGCACCACCGCTTGGCCTGCCACCACTGCATCTCGTCGTTGCGGCAGCGGTTCTGTCTCATCCACCAGCTGAATGGCTCCGAAGAGCAGTTCAGCCCGTGTCGTCGCATGTAAAAAGAGGGAAAGTCGTGGCACCAATGGCAGCCGGCGATCGTCGTGGGTGGTGACGGCGGTGGAGGCTGCGGACGTGCCGCCTCCGGGTCGCGGCACACAACTACGTTGGGCCAATCCCCGTTTGCCAATGCCCCCGCGGCTGGCCGCACCTCGACGACCGGCTCACCCGGGCAGCAGCACTTTGGCGTTGGTGTTTCGCTGAGGGTGGTGATGTCGCTGGAGTCGTCGTACGTAGGAACGGGAGGCCCGTAAAGGTCAAAGTCGACCGGGATGCAGCCGGCAGCAAGGGAGCACGCCATCCCTCAGGCCCGGTGCTCACTCCCATCTCTTGCTTGTGGGCGCTGTTTCGCGCACACACATTCGAGTTGGTTTCGATTACACTGACTGACAGACAGACGACACGCGCACGCACGCACGGACGGGGAGGCGCACGCACGGTGAGTGAGGAAGACTCGCTCGCCCGTCCCTGCTTGCTTGCTGGCACGCACGCGCCATTCGTTCGGTCGCTCTCACCTTATTAACACCTCTGGGGGGAGGCGGGGGCCCCCGGAGGCACCGTCCGTGCGCCGCGCAGCAGTGCGGAAACGGGGCTCCGGCGCTCATACTCGCTCATACTACAAGCTTTCCCGATTAAGCTAGGTTAATCATCAGAAAACTCCAACCTGATCGGTCGTACTGACCGCCGACAGATCACTCCAGACAGCAGACAGGCCGACACGTCTGCACGCGGCCGGCCGGGCGAGAGGCTTGACACGATCCGACCCTGCGACCCTGACGCTGCTGCTCTAGCTATCATACATGCACTACTGACTACTGCCACAATGTGCGACCGGTGCTGACCCACTTGGCGGCCTTCCCGGTCAGTGGTGAGGCGCAGTTCAGAGCTGTCGATGGCGCGATGCCGCACTGGTCCCACATTGGTGACACGAGACCACCACGTTTGCCGGTCCAAGAGAGAGGCACCAGCGCTGTCCTGAGAAGGTGCATGGTCCCTCTTGACTGCCCATGCGCGCGAGGCTGTGTAGGCATAGCCTCGAGAGTGCCAGCAGCCAATCCGAGGTGACGCGCATTGCGCCATTAGAAGCGTGCACACGATGGAAGGACACCTTCCTACTGGCCGTCGGATCAGGTCGTCACTGAATGCTTGATACTAAGGCCGCGACTATGCAGGTGATCAATGGGAGGGGGGTCCGGACCCCCCCAGCAGCAGAGCTCTGCTGCTGGGGGGGGGGAGGGCGACCCCCACCAGCAGAGCGCACTGGACGCACCCAGCTCCCGCCTCTTCGCCGCCGCCGCCCCCCTGGCTGGTCCATCGCGAACCCACTATGATTATCGGAAGCTCTCCTCGAGCAGCAGAGATGTCGGTGTCTTCCGACAAATCAAGCAGCCCGACCGCCGCGAAGCGGGATGATAGCGAGTTAGCGAGAGGTGTACTCCGCGAGGTTGAGCGCTGCACGCGGTACTCAGCGGTGTCGCAGCGTCGAGCAACACTCGGTATCAGAGCGTCGCGCCAAATCAGTAGTCTCATCGCCGAGTGATTGCTGGCCTGTGGCGCATGACCTCGCGCGGATATCACCAACAACTATCTTCCCTACTTGAAGCAGAGGCGCCGCGAGGCACGAGAGGCGTAGAAGCGAGAGGCTGGCGTGCGGTAGCCGTACTCTAGGAGGGCCCGCCGAAAAGACCACTGATTTTGGTGCCGACCATAAATTCTCGCCGCTTGGAACGCATGCTACTTATTGCAATACAGCTGCCTGCACAGAGATGCCAGCACCCCCCACAGGCAGAGCGCTGCTGCTGGGGGGGGGGGCGGCCATGGGCTTAGGTGTGCAGGGGGGGTACCGAGCAGTGTGCGGCCGCTCTTGCCTCGCACTCCGCAAAGTCGGACAAAGTTGCACCCGGTCGTGCATGCAGCATGGGTGGCACACCACTGGACAGAGGACACCTTCTCTTTAGAATTTCCCCAGAGGCGACTCAGAGCCGTACCATACTGACGTATCCGGCAGCCGAACCCCTCCACGCGCGACGCGCACGCCGGCTGCCCCGCCCGCGGCCTCGGGCCTGGACACGGGGTGCACCACACATCTTGGCACGACGCACGATTCTTTCGATAGATTTCATGCATGAAAAACGACACTAACTCAATGAGCAAAGAAAATAAAGATCCAGCTCGCCTCAAAAGAGTCCGCGCCTCTCTAACTTTTACTCTGCCACTGCGTCCCGGTGGCGAGCTTCGAGACGATCCCGTCGTTCTCCATGTGGTTCGGCTGGTAGATCCCGTTCACGTACTTCCCTCCGCCGCCATCCGCGCCCGCCCAAACGTGGTAGACTCCATCGCCGTTCTCGTCGCGTATGTGGTCGAACCGCCCCTCGCCCAGCTCCGCCTCTATCCCGACCTCCTTCAGCTTTGCGATGTCGGCGCGCGCGCGCTCGACGGCCGCCAAGTTCGGGTCCACTTTGCGCGGGAACGGAGAGGCGCCTAATGGTACAGCACACGCGGACATGTCAAGGTGGTGCACGTCACGTGCCAGAGGGCCTTGCCAAGGAGCAGCTGGGCGCCAAAAGGCCAGAGGAGGACGTTGACCAGCGTGGCGCGCGCGCTTATCTCGGCGTTGAGCAGCTGGACCACGCCGCGCAGCTTCGTGAGGTGCGACGTCTCCTTGTTGCACACGGCGACCGCCGCAACCTGATCGCACCGCGCGCGAGACCGTGAACCGCGCCTCTCCTCGGCAGGTTGGGCGGGGGGCGTGGCAGGTTGGGCGGGGGGCGTGGCAGCGGGCTACCGAGTCGCCGTAGCAGATGATGTGGCCCATCTCCCCGACGAGCAGATCTGCGACCTGGCGAATCGGCGCGTTGAGCAAGCCGACGCTGATGCCGTCGGCAGCAATCGAGATCGACTCGACGTCGAACTTTCCGCGGCAGGCGGCACTGCCCCAGCGCGGCCGCCTCGATGTGCCGCAGGTCAACGTGCCTGCGACGCGGCCGCGAGGACGCGTCATGGACGTATCCGACGGATGAGATGGGATTCCACCACGGCTTCTTACAATAAGCCAGAAGCGGTTCGGTGTCGAGGTTCTGAGCGGCGAACGCAGCAGTCAAAGCCAGCGCCACCAACATGCGAACAAGGTCGGCCAAGCTCCCGTGACGCAATGA